GCCGGCCCTGGGTTTATGTATTTTAAATAAATAATCCCATCCCTGCCTGTCTCATATAGTTAATATGAAAAAAAATGCTTTGAAATATGTGAATTGTCATATAAACTTTGAATTCTGAAAGCGCTTTGCACCTTTTGTGTGGAATTACTATTTCTTGTAAAGTAGTGACAAATACTACAAACTTCTTAAAAGTTGGTGCTATAGTGTAACCCTTTTTCTTCTACAGTTTCTATTATTGTGCATGTCATTTTAGTAGATTCTGAGTCAAGACTGATGAAAGAATAGCAATTCCATCTGCTATTCAGTCTTCATAACTATTCTTGAGTCACTAATTACAAATATTTTACACACTATATCAAATTTATCACCTTTCTTTCTTTTTAAATCTCCAATTTAGGTGATGTCTTTCCAGTGCAAATGAATCCGATAACCCAATCTCAGTTTATACCTTTGGGTGAAGTTCTTTGCTGTGCTATATCTGATATGAATGCCACTCAGATTGTAGTAACACAGGAATCACTGTTGGAGCATTTGATGAAACATTACCCAGGTAGAGTAACAAAATTTTTCTCTATTAGTTCATTGCATGTATTTGGTTTCTATTTATAAATCATCTTAAACACAAACGGGGCAACATTCAATTTTTAAAATCTATTATAGAACCTTATTTAGAGCCCTGCCAGAAAATGGTCTGCATCAACAAATATGATAAGGGTATTTCTTTTACTTTCCAATGAATTTTTTCAAAAACAACACTCATGGCAATAAATAAACCAGACTCTGTAGAAAGGAGTACAAAGGAAAAATCCATCTTCTCCCCCCACCGCCCATTCTTTCATTGCTGCTTCCCAGAGGTGATAACCTCTATTGAAACTATAAACTATTGTTTATAAAGAACTATAGTTAATAGTTTCTTATGTATACTTTTATAAATTATATTTGAGTATATGTATCCTTTTTTTTGGTGTAACAAATTGGATCATTCTGCACATTCCTTCTGCGTTTTTTTTTTAAACTTAAAAACATATTTTGGAGATTTTTCTATATCAGCATATATTGATCTATGTCACTCTTTCCACAGCTGCATGATATCCCAATGTGTGAATGTAGGAGAGTATTTTTTTTTAATTTTCCTCATTGTAAAATGAATATGCTTATTGTAGAAAAATCCAGGAAGTATAGAAAAGTAACCACTTAAGGTATCACCACCCAAAGGAAACCAATGTCAACATATTGATGTATTTTCTTCCAGTGTTATACAAACATTTTGGACATTGTTTTCACAATATAAATGTAATGTTGAACCCTGCTATTTGGAAAAGGGAATTTCTTTTAAAATTATAGTTACCTTCCCAGTTTGAAAAACTACCATAATCCAGATGTTAGGTAGTTTGCCCTCACCCAAGCAGAGACTGGTTTTCATTTTCTCTTTCAGTTATTAAGATTTAAACTATGAGACTGGTTTTCAAAAACTCCCATGTTTCCTTTCCTTAAATTTAAATTTCTATAAATTTAAATTTATAATGGGGTTGTGTAACTTAGTGTTTGTATTTGAGTGAAATCAGATTGTTTTCCTCTACTTAGCTATTAGCCTAACCCTATGTCTTGGTGTTGACCAAGTTATATTCCTATTATTCAAATAAATTACGATTATTGTTAATGCTTTGAAATTTTAATTACATATATTAATTGTGTTATCCAATTAGCTCTGGGTTCATCAAGCAAAGGCGTGGTCATTTTTGAATTACTGATTTCACTCATTAAAATAGTGCTGTAAAATGCTTGTTTGTTTTAGGCATTGCAGTTCCATCTCAAGATATTCTCTATACCACTCTGGGAACTCTGATTAAAGAAAGGAAGATTTATCACACTGGAGAAGGATACTTCATAGTTACTCCTCAGACTTACTTCATCACAAATACAACCCTCCAAGAAAATAAGAGAGCCCAATCGGATGAAAATCATGCGATGCCAACTTGCATCACGTATCTGGTGAGCATGGAGAGCTGTGCAGAGTTAGCCAAAGAAAATGCCTCCCCCATTTCCCATTGTCAGTCTTGTCGGTGTTTCCCTGATATATGCACTCAGGATCTAAAGGAACCACCAGCGGTTGCAGAAATGACTAGAAAAGGCCAAAAGGGTCTTGGGGAATCCAAATCTTTGGTACAGAATCAAGCAGTTTCAGTGTCTGAGGAGAATCACATCTCTGAGAGCACCAAACCTTTACCGTACACAAAAGACAGAGACAAAGGCAAGAAGTTTGGCTTTAGCTTGTTCTGGCGCAGTCTATCCAGAAAGGAGAAGTCCAGAACGGAGCACCACAGTTTCTCTGCCCAGTTCCCACCAGAAGAATGGCCTGTCCGAGATGAAGATAACTTGGACAACATCCCTCGGGACATTGAACATGAGATAATCAAACGAATTAATCCCGGTCTGACTGTTGACAACTTAATCAAACATACCATCCTAATGCAAAAATACGAAGAACAGAAAAAATATAATAGTCAGGGCACTTCCACTGATAGGCTGACAGTCAGGCATAAATATCCTTCCAAAGAGGGAGTTAAGAAAAGGCAGGGCCGGTCTGCAAAGTCTCGAAGGCGGGGCCATTCTCATAGGGATAGACACAGAACCAGGAGTCAGGGAAGTGAGCCTCTGCCAGGAAGCACTAGACTGGAGAAGCACCCCAAGCCCCCCACTACACAGCCCATTCCCAGAATTAAAATCCCAAATAAAGCAGTAGTTCAGAAACAACTTGGTGGGAACCCATCTGAGCTAGGTTCCAATTTGATATACAAAAAACGAATCAATAATCCTTTCCAGGGTTTGTCTCACCGTGGGAGCCCAGTAACCAAAGGGCACAATATCCAGAGGACCAGTGACCTGAAACCCAGTCAGATTGGACCAAAAGGAAAGCCTTTCCAAAGGTCAAGGTCTTCGGATTCCTCACGAATCTTTGAGAGAAAAGCCAAACAGCCATGCGCTGAACAATGTAATGATAAACTGAGGGCTGAGTCCATTTATATGACTAACTCTTCTATCAAACCTGTCAGTGATGACGTTAGAGATCGCCTCTTCAATTACTCCCAGGGTAGTGTTTTGCAAAATGATAGCAAATACTGTTCCTTTAGGGAAGGCATGTTGACAGATGATGTGTATGATGGAAAAAATGAGGCAATCCCTGAAGTCTTGAAGAAAAGTTATTCTCCCTTTGACACACTAGGGGAGGCAAAAGAAACACAGTATGTCCTGCCATCACCGGTTTCCTCCTCTTTTGACCAAGCATCCTCTGCTTGTAGATTAGTTGATAAAACAATACACCAGTTCCAAAATCTTGACCTTTTGGATTATCCAGTTGGTGCGAACCATTTGAGACAACCTGAGAGACAAGACAGAGACTCAGAGGAAAAACGAATGAGAAAGACATTTGTCCAGGAGACAGAGACTGTAAGTCTAGAAAACGAAGTGCTTTCTGATGATGACCAAACCTTGTATCAAAATCAAGTGGAAGATGACGATGGTGCCTGCAGCTCATTATATCTAGATGAGGATGACTTTTCTGAGAATGATGATTTATGTCAAATGCTGCCTGGCCACATTCAGTATTCCTTTACCGAGGGAAGCAAGTGGAATCATTTAGGAAAACAAAAGGCGACTGAAAGATCTCCGACTGAGTACAACAGTAAAGCACATAGGTTTGAGCCTCCGGTACTTAAGGGGAGTGAAGGTTATAAACCCTCTGGGTTGCTCACTAAACCAGGGGAAAGCCAAAGCCCTAATCTCTCTGCGGAAAGCTGTGGCCTCAATTTAGGGACCCGGTCTGGTTTTAACTGTGAAGAGGAATCCAGTATTGCTAAATGTGTACAGGCCTCAGCATCTACTGATGGAAATATATTTGATTACTACAGCACAAGGAAAGCCATTTCTGAGACTGAAACCCTGTACGACTCTGTTGGTGACACAGGAAAGAAACCAGCTAGCTGGAGTCAGAGTGCTCAGAATCAGGAAATGAGAAAACAGTTCACTCACAAGTTAGAACTTTTCAACACTTCACATATGCCAGTGTTGGCTCAGGAGATCCAGCATGAACACAGTCATTTGGAAGGAACAGAAAATAGCATGGCAGGAGATAGTGGAATAGATTCTCCACGGTAAGTGCACATAAAAGTGTTTCATTAGTTATTATCCCACTGGAATTATTAAGGGCATAAATTGAATTACCTAGATTGAGTTACCAAGTGGGAGACTCCTGAATAAACTTTTTTTTTTTTTTTTTTACCTGAGCTATTCTGCCACTTGTTGGCAGCTCAGCAGCAGCTCAGCTTGGGCCGGGAATTGAACCGGCAACCCTGTTGTTCAGAGCTGGCACTCTTGAGCGAGCTCTTAACCAACTGAGCCACTCGGCCAGCCCCTGAATAAACTTTTTATAATGATACAATTCTGCCAGCCTCTACTGAATCAATTGTATAAAGTTACAATGAAATCTCTCACATAATAGGATAAAGTTCTTTTTTTTTTTTAAGATTTTTATTGGGGAATTGGGGGATGGGAACAGCGTTGGGGAATTGGGGGAAGGGGAATAGACAAGTTGCTGTCTTTTTGTTCTTCAGTCTAGTTGTGGAGGACGTTGTTTTACTGGCTCAAGTTGGCACCATCATTGCGCTCTTCCCCGGTGAGGCAGTTCAGTCGCTGGCTTCTGGACGGCCGCTCTCGGTGGCTGCTGGCCGCTCACGCTGGCTGCTGGCTACACACGGTAGCCCATGGCAACCCACTGCAGCAGGGGCTGCAGCCTATGCCATCACCAGTGACTCAAGGCAGCCTAGCTCCAGGTTGAGCTGTTGTTCAGCATCTTAGCTGTAGAGGGCAGTGTCACTGGCCCTCATATGTGGGATCCGAACCGGGGCCCTCTGGCATCCCAAGCCAGCTCCTTAACCAACGTGCCACTCGGCCGGCCCTAGAGTTCATTTTTAATGTGTGCCAAAATTGGGCTGTTCTACTACTACTCAATCTTCTTGAATTATTTCTTAAAATAAACTAAGTACTTCCTGAATATTAGGGTAAGGTTAGAAGTTTTGATTTATATTCCTGGTTCTACACAGGTTGAGAAAGAGATGTGGCTACTTTCCACTAATATTTTCCAGTCCAATTTGTTTAAATAACATCTTTCAGATTGTAAAAGTAATATGGACATAATAGAACATATGAGAAGTACTGAAAAGTATTTCTAAAAAATAACTATAATCACCCTATCATCTAGATATTTTATAAAATCCTTTTATATTTGTTATATTAATAATCCGTCAGTCCGAACATGTTGATCTCTATATTTTGTCTGTTGGACTCTTATTGCAGATACTATTTTGCATGTTATTTGAAATTAATAGCATATGCTCCTATGTTACTAGTTTTCTGAAAGGTCAACTTAAAATTTGGCGTATTAGATTTTTTATTATATAAAATTATTGTGTACCTCTTTTTGAAAAAGCAAAGTAATACAGAAATGTGAAAAGTAAAACAGGAAGTCTCCATTTCCCAACCTTTTCCATTCCCATTCCCATTCCATAGAGGTGACCTAAACATTATTAACAGTTTAGTATGTATTCAGACTTTCTTCCATGAATTTATAAATATAATTATTTTTTAATAACAAATCATATAAAGCTGTGGCTTTCTTTTTTCACCTAACTTATCATGGATATCCAGTAATCAATATATAGAGACCCAACTCATTCTTTTTAATGGCTGCTTAGTATTCCATTTTGTGGACCCCATTATTTATATAACCATTGTTTTCCTTCCTTTGACATTTAGATTATTCCCATTTTTTGCTATAATAAATCTGCAGTGAATGTTTTTACATATAAATATTTGCAGACATTTCTGATAGTTCATTACTTAGAGACTGTGTGAGTCTAGAAAATGAAGTGCTTTCTGATGATGACTACATTTTAAAAATATCTTTATTGAGGAACATATCTTTTCTGCTTGAAACAATAGTTTGATTCATTTAAGTCTTTAAAGTATCAAAACATGTCGTCTCCAGAGTAAACAATGGTGATGTAAACCAACAAGCCATGGGTTCCCTTTCTTTCTCTCTGGCAAAAGCAAAACAAAAACAAAAACAAACCCAAAACAGATAAGGGAAATTACTCCTTGACATGCAATGGAGAATTTAAATTTGCAAAATAATGAGAACTGTAATGCCTTAAAAGTTGCTCATGATTTTCTTGACTTGTAACTGTAATTATTAAAGATATACAGAGGAAAAAGGAGGGAAGATAGCATTTGAACATCAACTATGTGCCATATTGTTATAAGGATTCAGGGGATACAGATGAACAAGATATTGTTGCTACCTGTGGGAAGCTTACAATTTAATTTAGTTGAGGAAACCAGCAAACAATAAACAGACAAATTGAACTCAAGAACAAAGCATAAACTCTTCATAACTGTCAAAGAGATGTGGAATTAGAACGATGGGCTGTGTGGGGGAAAAGTTATTGGAGGACACATTTTTGAGACATATCCTAATGGAATGGATATGTAATGAGAGAAGGTAAAGTGGAAAAAGGGTAATGTCAAAAGCAAAATGCCCAAACAGTGATGTAACTTGGCAAGACAGAGGTGTTAGATAAGGGACTAACAGCTTACAGCTCTTAGGAAAGGAAGATTGTCAATATGAAAAATATTGCAGTTGGCTTTTCCCTCCCATATGACTTCTCAAAAAAGCAATAAATTACACTATTGGGTTGTTGGAAAAGTCATGAAGTATTTTTTCTATGTTTTTCATTGCAAAAATGCATCATGACTTTTCCAACAACCCAATAGATATTGGTCACTTCAGTTGTATAGAAGAGTTTTCCAGGGACTTAGTATTTCTGAATAGAATATATTTGATATTGGATCTGAGAACAGATGTTCAGAAAATATGAACTTTTGGAAAGCAGCTGTCAAAATAATTGATGCTATTTTGAAGAATTTAAAATGTAAAGAGCACTTTAGATTTTTAAAGGTCAATTTATTTGATAAGTGTACCTTAGTGTTAGTAAATGTTATACTGCTTCAAATAAAGGAAGGTATAATACCTTGATTAGAAATCCAGGCCCCTTTTGAAGGTAGTAATTCTGTTATTTTTAATACATTTAGGACACAGAGCCTGGCATCCAATAATTCAGTCATTCTGGATGGACTTAAAAGAAGACAGAATTTTCTGCAGAACTTTGAAGGCACAAAGAGCAGTCAAACACTCACATCCAATTCCTTACTGCAACTAACTCCAGTCATAAATGTTTAATTCTTATTTTTGTTTTGGAAACTTTTTAATGTACAGCATCATATAGAATGTTTTAATCAACTGAGTATATAAGAATTCTCTAAAGCCAAACATATATGCTATTAATCTCATTACAAATTTTATTCTAGTTACTGGCTTTTTTCCTTTTTTTACATTTTAAAGCTTTTTTCAAGCTTATTTTACTATGAATTTATTGGGAATATATAGGTTGTTTGCAATAAAAAAATGGAATCCATGGTCCTTTTTCAATTAAATGTAATTAACACTCAAATTTTCCAGATATTCATTAGCTTCTCAATTACATAGGATGCTAATTTACTACCCAACAGTGAATTTCTCTACTCACACTAATACTGAGTTTTTATGTTAAGTGGATCTCACCAAATTTCAATGCAAAAATCCAGAAAATAGCATTTTAGGGTTGCATAGACACTTTGTTTGCAGCTAAAGTCTTTTATCATTATCAGAAAGAATTTATATAGATATATTGGGTACTTTGCAACAAGAATTCCTTCCATCCAATCATTTTTGCCAAGGATCTCTGCAACCGGCTTGAACATGAACTTATGGCTCCACGTTGTGACTGACTGGCAATGTCCAAATACATGTGGTAGTAGGCACCTGACTCCACTATTTCTCTGGCTCTTCCCCATGTTTGAGGCTCTATCTGTAGCATGACGTTGAGAAGTTGGGATAGTCTCAGATGGCACGGACATAGAAGGGAAGCAGAGTGGTTGGAAATGGCTTATGTGTAAAGGGGAGATTGTGAATTAGACATTTAGAGAAGGGAAACCATTGGATCCATTTCCACTCTTGATAATACCTATATGTAGCTTTGCCAGAATTTTTTCTGGCAGGCCTTTCCAGACCAAGCAGTGGAATGGTCTGTTCTTTTGGGTTTGGGGAACATGGAACAGTCAAGACAGGTTTCAGGTAAATGCTAATGCTGACTTATGGTTGAGAGGATGTTTCTTCTAAGGTGTTTAAGGATTGTCAAGGCCTTAGATCTCAAGGATGATCAAATAATTGGAGAGTACCTCTTCCCAGCTCTCACCATTCTGATGACAGTGAAGGCCAGGTGAAGCTCAGCAGTGTGGAGAGCTGCCTCCAGCCCCTGTGGGAGTGCAGAGGATGGGAGATCAGACAGGCTGCTGCTCTGTCAGCAGTGGTTGGACCACTCAGTCCTGACTATTGGTTTTCAGTGGCTCTGACCAACCTGTCATCCCAAGAAGACTAGTTATGGTCACAAGGACATTTAAAACTCTGGGCAAAGTACCAAGAAAGGTAATCTGGGTAGAAAAACCTTGTGGGGGAGGCATTGTTTTAGGGGTTCTTATAGCTTCGAATTAGCACCAGTGAATGGAAGTTAAGAGATTTCAGCTTAGTATGAAGAACATCTTATTCATCAAAACTATCTGTAGATGAAACAGGCAGCTTTGTCAATTTCCCATTATTTAGGGCATTCAAGCAAAGGCTTGGTGATCCCTTGACTGCTATGTTGCAGAGGTATTTCCAGTACATAATTTAAAAGGATGGCTGAACTAGATGGTTTCCAAGATTCCTTCCGATGGTAAGGTTTTGTGCTTATGAGATTCAGTGAGGGTCCTGTGACATACTGGACTCATGCAAGGTTCCTGAGTATTACTTCCAGTTCTCCATTTCTGCATCTGTCCCTGCCAATCCTTGGAAAAAAGGAGCACCAACAACTCTTGTTCTATCTTTGGACCTGGATAAGTTTCTTAGTAGAATGAGTAAATCCAAAGTCTTTTGTGGCTCTAGCCACATCTAGGAACTAATGAAAGCCATCTAACTGCCAATGGATGCATTGTGATACTCTCTAAATGTGTTAAATGGCGCCTATTTTGAAACCAATAAACTTTTACTACACACAACATGTGACTACAGATATTAAAGATGGGTATATGTGTTATTAAATTGTTCTTTGGGAGATCATTCTTCAAAATAAGTGACTTGCGTTCCTCCAATATTAATTTGTGTGCGTGGAAACTTTAGTTCTTGATTTCTGTTCTCCATTGCAGTGTATTCTCTACTGAGAAAACTGTTCTTGAAGCAGCATGATGACCTGAGTTTAGGAGAAAGACAAGTTTGAATCCCAATTCCAATTCTTGGTAGCTGTGTGATGGAGAAAGTTACCAAACTCTGATTAAGTTTTCTTATCTGTAAAAGGAGGATATAATGATATCTACCTTGCAGATTGTTGTAAGATTTGAGGATAATCTATCAAAAGTGCCCAGTGCAGCAGGCACTTAATATTGTTATAAATATATGTGTATTTTTACATATTCACAAAACTTGTCTGATAGGTAAACATTATACAACTCCCCTATTTTTGCCAGGTTGTCTGGAATTCCTCCATTTAGAGATTCAATCCTTTAGGTAAAAATTAAAGTATCTTCAACAAAAATCTAGATATGCTTGGGGAAGTATTATGCCTTTGGCTAACAAGTTTTCAGTTAACAGTTTTATACTATCAATAAGAATAAAATATGCAAAGCATGGGCTTAATGTAGACAGTCATACAATGTGAGATACTGTTCACCCTCTGTCATTCAGGGTCACAGCCCCTAGGAATCCTCAGAGAGTAGGTGGCTTCTGCAAACTATTGTCAATATTTCAAAAATCTTAATAGAAATTTTACATTTCCTTTGCCTAACTCATTGCTAACTAAAACATTTTCTTTGCCAGTGGTTGAAATTAAACCAGCTCAGTAAAGCAACACTATCACATGCTAGTATGACATTATAAAACTGCATTAGGGGATGGCTGGTAAGCTCAGTTGGTTAGAGTGCAGTGCTCATAACACCAAGGTTGCCGGTTCAATCCCCACATGGGCCACTGTGAGCTGCAGCCTCCACAACTAGATTGAAACAACTACTTGACTTGGAACTGATGGGTCCTGGAAAAACACACTGTTCTCCAGTTAAAAAACAAAACAAAACTGCATTCGTATCTTATTTATAGATCAGAAGAATGATTATGAATCAACTATTACTTAAGGCAATGTAGCCAACAATGTTTCAAAATGTCAGATCCATGTGATGAAAATAATGTAAAGAGCTGTGGTAGTGAAAAGATTGGGAACCACTACTTTTTGAGATCCCATCCTACGGCTACCTGAGAAGGCTTTTGGGGAATGGGGAAGACAGACTAGTGCCTAAAGAAAGTGAGGAAAAGAGACATGACAGTCATGAAACAAGAATGGGGTTATCAAAAAGAAACTAAGATTGCTGGCCTCCACAAATCCTCCCATTTGAAATCTTAGAAGCAAGCTTCCTCTTAAGCAATAGCAGCTTCCATTTCTTGGGTAATGGTGCCCTCTTCTGGTGTACTGATGTGACTATCCCACTACTCGATTCCAAATATCTATAAAATAATGACTAAAAAACAGTGAGACCTCTTTTCAAAGGTTAAACAATTTAAAAAGCTTTCAACTAGTTTGAATTAAGAGCTAGATACATAAGTATACATGTGCTAAACATGTTCAAAACTATCTCCTCTCCAATGCTTTCAAAACCTGTCAAAACCTGGAGCTAAAGGTAGAAATATAAGCATCATCTCTGTAGTACTGTTATATTATCTGATCCTCCCAAATTCCCTGCACTTTCAGAAGGCAAAGCATTTTTGTCTCCACATTACTAACAACAGGTTTTAGAGTTGGCTAAGGATATGTGGCCAGAAATGGCAGAAACATCCCTTCTGTTCCTTACCTCTTTCATTTTTTCCTTACTTGTTGGTACTCTCAACACTCATTTTTTTACTCTAATATCTCTTGATCAATTTATAACTGGCCCTTAAACTATTTCAATGTCATAACTTTTTAAAACGATGGCTCAGTTCCTCTTGTCACATAAGATTGACATGCAGGTGCAAAATGATGACTTAACCTTCTAACTATGGAGTAAATATTAAAATGCAGCCCTGTAGGTTTGAGAATGACCAGAGAGGCAAATTTATATTCATCTTTTTTTTATAGCTTAAGGTCATAAAATTTAATGGCAAGGGAAATATTTATAGAACTTTGCAACAAAGAAACGGATGAGATTCCCCGACTCATAAATTTTAAGAAAGAAATTATATCAATGACTGCTAAGATACTTGGAAAATAAACATGTTTTCATGAGATTATATTTTGAGTTACTTGTACATTTTAATTATGCTATCCCTTCATGCTTCCCCTCAAAATTTCATCAGATACAAATCTGAAAAAATAAATCTCCATTCCCTCATCACCATTCCCATGTTTTCTAGTTAATACCCATTGAGAACACATATATAGTAGGGTTTTTTTTTTTCACTTAAGCCATTGCTTGGTGAAATTACTTATGAGTGGGTTTAATTTGCAAATTAACATTTGCCCTTTCCACCTGACATAGACAGCAGCCAGATATTTGGTTCAATGAATTTGGGGTTTAGAAAGGCAGGGTTTGTGATGTCCTGAATCACAGGTCATTCTGAAAAACACTAATATGTTAGTTTCTTGTATAAGGGGAATTTTACAGACCTGCAGTATGACCTCCGACATAACAATAAATGCCAAAAATAGAATCTCGAGGAGCTAAAAACTGCTCTTCAACCACAACATACGAACATCTGTTCCTGTTATCCCAGTTCTATGTTTGACATTCCTAACCGCATCCACGCCGTGTTCCTATGCACTTTATATACCCTGTTGTAGGGCTACACACTTTATGATGGTAGAATTGGGATTGATGTGAGGGAGTGGGACAAAATGATTTATTTAGAAAAAAGCACAGATCTAGGGATGCATACTTATGATATAGGGAGAAATGCATTTTCCCACAATCATTAGCTGAGCACTGCTTTTGGTCACAGTATTGAATTCATAAGGTAACATTTACATAACCATGTAGCCCTTGACTTCAAGCCGATCCACTATTATGCAGAACGACTGTGGCAATCGGTTTTAACATTTGTGGTTTCAGCTATTCAGGACCAATCCCCAAACTCCACGACATGTCGCAATTTGTAATTTTGCTAAGAACACAAGTTTGATGCTCAGGTTACAAGGCTGGTGTGCTAGACACTGTCAAGTGGTTTGTGAAGTGCCCCTGCACCCACATCTCAATTTGTTTTTTTGTTCTCCATTCAAGAGTAGCTGGATTGATAAAATGAAGAGATAAAGAGGGTCGCCCGAGTGGCTCAGTTGGTTAAGAGTGCGAGCTCTGAGCAACAGGGTCCCTGTTTTGATTCCCACATGGCCCAGTGAGCTGTGCCCAAGCTGGGCTGCCAACAGGCAGCAGGATGGCTCAGCTGGTGAGAGCACGTGCTCCTAACAACAAGGTTGCCAGTTTGACTCCTGCATGGGATGGTGGGCTACATCCACCCATAACTAAGATTGAACATGGCACCTTGAGCTCAGCGGCCAGAAGCTGCCAAAGGGCAGCCGGATGGCGGCTGGACTTGGAGCTGAGCTAGCCCTCCAAAACTAAGATTGAAGGACAACAACTTGGCTGTTCCCCTTCCCCAACTCCCCAGTAAAAGCTTAAAAAAAAAAAAGAAGATAAATGGCTTTGAAAAGCCAACCAGCTAGCAGAGGTGATATAAGATATATGCTAAGGAATTAACCCTTTGTATTGTCAAAAGGTTTTCAGTTTTGTATAAGGTTGTAACTCAGAGGCAGTTAATCCCCATCAGTAAAATAAAATCCTTTTATTCACTACAAATACATAAAGTGTCAAGGCTTGTTTTTCATGTTTCTCTTTTTTTTTTTTTACTTATTATTTTGTTTCATGGGAGCAATCTTTCCCAAAAAGACTGCAAAACTCAAAGCTTTCAGGTTGGTCGCAGAGAAGGTACTAATCTCAGATGCAGAAGATGAGTTCTCTAGTCTTGGCCATGCCACTAACTGTGTGACTTCAGGGGTGTAAATCCCTTTCTAGGGGTTTAGTTTCCTCTATGTCAAATGGAGAGTGTGGGGAAGGGCTTAAAATGAACCAACTTCATGACTAAAACCTAAGACCTGAGGAAGGAATGGCCGGCCCTGGCTTTCACTTCAAGCCCATCCAGCCCACTCCAGGCCCCACCAAGCTCTCTGCCACCAACACCGGGGCTCTGGACTGGCGCGAAGCCGTTAGACGTTTTAGACGTTAACGCCTCACCCCGCAATGGGCGGGGCCGAGGCCTGCAGTTTCCGGCGATGAATGGCTGGGCGTCGCGTGGCGCTCTCCACTGGCCCCGTACGGGCCTGTCCACGCGCCAGTCCGCCGCGCACGCGCCCGGGCCCCCTCTCCGCCGAATTGAGGGGCTTCCTAGCCCCAGCACTGCATGCTGGGAAGCCCCGAAGCGTCTCCGAGGAGAAATGTTCTGAGTAGGGGAGGGGCGAGAAAGAGAGTAAAGAACCCCAATCCTCTCCAGCCATTTTATTCCAATCAGTTCGCGCGTTCTTTCTGGAGATTCGCCAGGGTTTTCTGTAAGAAGCCAATCACTTTAGAACAAGGGTGGGCAAATCGAGATCTCTCACAAGTCATTGGCTGGAGATTTGGCCGCAAGCGAAGAACTCAAACCGAGTCCGGAATTATTTCCCGCCCCTCCGTCATGCGGTGCGTGTCCCGGAAGTGACGCACGGCTGTGGCTGGGCGGCCGCCCTGTCCCAGCTTCGTTTCACGCTATCGCTAGTCTTGCTAGCCGTAGGTGCTTGTGGTTACCGTGCCCACAGGGAGGCGGCTGAGACGAATGATGCCTGGGAAACTTCTCTGGGGGGACATTATGGAGCTGGAGGCACCCTTGGAGGAGATCGAGAGCCAGAGGAAGAGGCAAAAGGTGCGCTGAGGATGGGCCGCGCCTCCTTTTGGGCTGCGCCGGCTTGGGTGGGGAGGGGAGCTGTCCCTGATGGCCTGTCACAACCGTGCCAGAGCATCTGAGGGCCTACCCTCGCGCAGCCCTCGTCCCGCCTGTGGTTGCCCCGGGTCCATTCGTGTCTCCACACCCTCAACCTGGAGACGGGCGGCCCTGGGCTTTGGCCCGGCTTCCCGTGGTCCCTCAGCCCTTCTCGTCGGCGCCTACGAGATGCGCAGACTCAAGCTCCCATCCACACGGAGTGTTCTTTTTTTTCTCCTCTAACTTAAGCAGTGAGGCTTGTCATTTGGTTCTTGTTGGCCATCCTAAAAAACGATTAAGAAAACTGATTGCCTTGGATATGTGTTACTTCTCCGTCACCCTGACCTGTGTGCCAGAATCTTGGGGAGAGCGATTTTAGGTTCACAAACCTCGGTAACTAGTCTAGAGGCTTAAGGAAAAGGGTCACAGCCAGCGTTGCCAGGATTTGGCTGTGGTGGAGATTCTGTGGGTTATATTATTAATAGCCTTTACTTTTAGTATTTTCATTCAACCCACAAGTATTTATTGAGGCTAATTTGTGCCAGACTCTTTGCTGGGGTCCAAGGGGTTTAACTCAGTCGCTGCCCTCAAGGAGCCTGTAGAATTGTAGCGACTTCCCACCCCACTCCTGCAAAGAAAGAAACCTGGAGAAAACAGCTGAGGATGGTAAGGACGCGTTATTCGTTATTCGAAGGCTGACATTGGGCAAAGAATGAAAATATTCTGTATAGCCCTAGAGAGCAGAACCTATCCTTCCAACCTTATCACCAAGGTAAACTTTGCCGTTCCAGCCAAGCAGTTATTTTTTTTTGTATATACACAACATGTATATACATAAAATTATACATAAAATGGTAAAATTTACCATTTTAACCATTTTAAAGTATACTACTTTGCAGCATTAAGTACATTTACATTGTTCTGCAGCCATCACCACCATTCATCTCCAGAACTTGATCCTCCCAGATAAACTCTATGCCAATTAGACATGAACTTCCCATTGTTCCCTCTTCTCAACCCCTGTCAACGACCATGCTACTTTATGTCTCTGTGAATTTGATTACTCTAGATACCTCATGTAAGTGGAATCATCTAGCAGTTATTTTAATTTTGGCTCCTCCTGAAATATTTGTTTCTCCTTTTGCATTCAAATCCTATCTATCTGTTAAGGTTGTCTGTTCTAACCACTCCAGTGTACGCGTAATCTCATTCTCCTTTGAAGTTTTGTCCCAGTACTGCCTTTATCATTCGATTGGCATTTATTATCCACTTCCTAGCTCATTTTTCCATGTGTATCTTCCCCAGATATATCCCAAAGATTCTTGAGGGAAATGATCAGATGTTTCTCCATCATTACATTTCACTGTATTCTTGTAAATTGGTGGCTTTCACATTGCAGATTCTCCAGAAGTACTTGTTGATTTTCCTTTATGAAAGATAAGTAACAATTTGGAAACAGATTGGAGTACTAACTAATAGAAGTAGAGGATTTGGATAATGCTCTGTCATTGAAATGAAGATAACTTTGGTTTGGGAGATATTTGGATATGGAGCCGGGGCTTGGGGTCTCAGAACTGGATTGCAGGTGAGGAAGGAAGCCTGGTAGTGTATGTTGAAGCCGGGAAAATGGTATGAAAATGTACAGAGACTTAAGGAGCATCCACAGAAAGAGGAGTAAGGGGAACCATTGAAGGCAGAGGTAAGAAATAAGGGGGGAATTTAGAGTGTTGTGGGAGCCAAGGCAGTGGAGAGTGTTAAGCACTGTGGGCCTGATGTAGAACAACATATTTCATCACCTTGTGATATTGCTGGGCTTGGACCTAGAGGTCTCATCTGGGTCTAAGAGGTGCTTCATCTCTCTGAAGTGCAGGTACCAGGAACAATTCAAACCCCAAGGCTGGCTCTATAAATAACCTTGTTTTCTATAGAACCTATTGGTTTGGGGAAATGTGGGTTACTTCAGTTGACTAAAGATCAATTGATGGATAGTAATATATAACTATAGCCAATGTTAATGTAAAGTTTTACTGTTTACAAAGCATTTTCACATACAAGTATGTTATTCAGTTTTCACTGCTACTTCTATTTTATGGAGAAAATCGTATGTGAAAATACTCTGTAAAAATTGTGTAAATTATGCTGAAATTTTTGGTGGTGGTAGTTTTTACTATCACTAATCACTATCTGATGTATTTTGAATACTTGACCACATAATTCTGAAGTGCTGAATTTCCAAATCTTTTCTTGCTGTCTGCAAATGTTAAAACACTGGCCACTAGTTTGTCATTTTAAAACTAAAAGCTGTAGAATAGTCCTTTTTTTTTTAAAAAATTAAGTTCTGTTAACTAAATGTAAAAAACTTTAAAATTTTCCAGGCTTAATATACTTGTCCTGTGGGAATATAACAATTGGAGTTTTACATGAATTACATAGTTTTATTTAGTTGTTTTTTTCTTTAACCTGTTACTTATCAAAGTTCAGAGAAGAAGCATGATGTGAAAAAAGCATGGGCTTACAAGTCAAACGGGGCTTGATTTCTGGCGCTTCCACTTGTAGGAAATCCCACATGTGGTCTTGGGCAAGTTACTTACCTCTAAGAACTTCTGTTTCCTCATCTATAGAAAGGCAAAGGTAATACAGGTTCTCTATCCCTTATCCAAAATCCCTGGGGCTAGATGTGTTTTGGAATTTAGAATTCTGGGGACTTTTAGAAGGGTAACACCCCAGTAGGGTTTGGGACCCCCAACATATAATCAAACACCTTATTAAATATGAATATTCATACTAAGTATAATAAATAAAGATTATAAACATTCTCATTAGTTAAAGTCAAATTTAGCCACCAAGTAAGTTCAGGTCAGGTAAGGTTTTGTCTCCAAATAAGTTACAAAAAAACTTTCGGTTTTCAGAGCTTTATGGATATCGGAATTTCGGATAAGGGATTATGGACCTATACTTCCCTTATAGGGTTGTTATGAAGATTTAAACAAGGTAAGCTGGAAATACATTACACAATGCTGGGTAGGTACTCAATAAATATTAATTTTTTTTTCTTTGGAGATATTTGAAGTTTTTGTTTGTTTAATTTATAAATCTCATTCTTCTTCTGAAAAGGAGCTATTTTAATTTTCCTTAAATCTAATGATGGGATTAGAGAGGGGCTAGAGGTCAAGAGATGGGATGAGAAAGAAAGGAATAGGTGAGGCTAAGGCTTGGCATTAGCAACCAGTCTGGATTGCTATCAGGTAATTTTTCAAGTTAATGGTAGATTGAGCTTTGCTGGTAGGAGAGTCACACTCTAACTTTTCTTAGAGGAGAGCTTGTGACCCTCTTGTCACTGCTTCTTTGTTTTTTCACAGAGTGATAGGAGGAAGTCAAGGCATCATTGTGACTCAGATGACAAATCAGAAGCAAGAGAAAATGGTGTTGCCGATGAACTGGTTGCTCCCAATTCCAAAAAAGCTAAAATGAAAGAGAAGCTGAATGGAGACACTGAAGAAGGATATAATAGACTTTCAGATGAATTTTCTAAATCTCATAAGTCAAGAAGAAAAGATCTGTCAAATGGAGATATTGATGAATATGAAAAAAAATCAAAGCGAGTGTCATCCTTAGATAGTTCTACCCATAAATCAAGTTATAATAAACTAGAGGAGGTATGGATACTTTTTGTTTTGCATTTGACATTATCCTGAAATATAGGCTAATTTGATTTTTTTTTAGGCTAATTAGAATTGATTCTATAATATTTCCTGCTTAGTGTCCAATACTCTCAGTTGGACCAGGGAGTCTGTACAACCAAAACCTGAGCCTTTTTTCCGTTGTCCCTGTTTCTTTTAAGGTATTGCCTTTTCTTGGGGCAGAAGTGGGAGGTCAGATTTAAATCTTTCCTGTCCATTGGGTTCTTAAACAGTTTTTTCTAAATTGTTGTTCACCTACTTGCATTTCTTATGGTTATTTGAGTCCCTCCCAGTACTCATGAATTGACTTCTGACTTCCTGAAACAAGGTACAAAGCCCTCTTGACTGTATTTTGCCTTCTGCTTTTTCTACTGCTATAACAATAGCAACTTTAAATGATCTTTAAGTTTATTATAATTCAACCTTAAAGCTGTTTGCATTTTTAAAAAAGAAATGAAACATAAAAATGATCTGAAGAAATCCTTTCTCCTGGATATTTTTTGGGAAGTGTAGAAAGCATGCTTAGAATAGAATCTGCATTGCTTTTGCCAGTACCTTTTAGAGCAGATCTTTTCTTGCACAGAATTTATTCAATTTGTTTTTGCAGTTTTCCTCTAGCAGAGTTCATAGATTTTTCTAGGTATTATCAATTGTCAGTAAATTACTTGGGTCCTCAGAAAAGAAACAACTTTGATATTCTTAATAATTCTTGGTAATTAATAATTCTTTGTTTTTTAAATCTGGTACTTGCTGATAATTTAAATACCTTCGAGTTTAATTTTTTGAGTAACCTTTGGGAAGTTTTAGGAAAAGTTGTTAAAGCCTTGTCTTACAATATGGTGGGGTTTTTTTTGTTTTGTTTTGTTTTTTATAGCTGAGCCATCCTGCTACTTGTTGGCAACTCAGCGGCTGCTCAGCTTGGGCTGGACTCGAACCGCTGTTGCTCAGAGCTCAAACTCTTGAGCGAGCTCTTAACCAACTGAGCCACTCGGCCGGCCCTTCGCACTT